GTTTAAAGTAAGATAGGATGCAACAAATGGCTGTGTCTGGCACCTAGAAGGGCTGGGCAAGGAATGGATGAGGACACCAGTGATGAGAACTGCATATTTCTGTGTGACACTCAGTGGGTGCATCTACACATGTACTTTAATGTGCATTAGCCTATTTTAATGTTCATTAAAGCATCAGTAAAAACCCTGTGCTATTTAGTTAATGAACATTAAAATAGGCTAATGTGCATTGGGTGCCTATACTCGTACATTGAGGCTGCTCTGATGAGCTGTAATTACAACCCGTCGGAGCAGATTCGATTAATCAAGCCGCTCTAATTAAAGCACCCCCACTGCCTCCCAAAGCATGTGTATACATGCCCATTAAGCATCACTTAAAAACTGTGCACTTTAGTTAATGCGCATTATGACATTTTCTTAGTACCACACAATAGAGGGTGCCTATACACGAGTGCAGAGGCTGCTCTGACACACTGTAATTATAGCATGTCAGAGCAGATTTGATAAATTGGGTTTGCTGGAGCGTGGTAATTACTGTGCTCCAGCCAGCCTCCATGTCATGTGTATCAGCATCCCCATGCTTCAAAATGGTGATGGGGGCGCTGTATCTAGAGCTCATTTGATGAGCTTTAGATGAAGTGCTCCAGACGCCATTTTGAAGTGAGATGGACAGGAGCTTTAATTAGGGTGGCTCTTGGAGCCGCTCTAATTAAAGTGCTCCCCCCACCCCACTGGAGCATGTGTATATATGCCTGAAGGTATTAAATCTAATGCGCATTAACTAAAGTGTGGTAATGCATGCGTAGATGTACCCATTTATGTAATTCAGGTTTCTTCTGGCCATATCAGTCCAGATGCATGGGGCCTGAATGCATTTGGTAGTGAAGACTCCTGAGAGGATTTTCTTTCTGTGCCAGAAAGCCCCGGGAAGGGAGGGGAAGAAGGAAAATGTGGAATGAGTTTGGCAGCCACCACAGAGAATTTTTCAGAGAAGGGGACTTGGGGAGAGGTTGCTTGAACAAAAACCTGGGCTGCAGCCGCACCACCAGGTCTTACTGGGTCCTTTTTAAATTCTGCTCCCTCTGAGATGCAGCATGTCAAAGGACTAAGCATAAGAATAAACCCTGAGCAAATGTGGCAGTTGGATTTAAGCTCCCCCCCACCCTCTCCCCAGTTGGAGATCAGTGTTTAATTTGAGACATTTTGAGCAGTTCATATGAAATATGAGAAACAAGCAAGTGGCAAGGGTTGCAGCTGTTCAGCGGTTCTTTTAGTTTAGCAAGCTATTTTCTGGGGTGAAGGGAAGTTGCTTATCCAGCTGTAGACCCCAACAGTTTTCATAGCTTTGGTATTTTATGGGCGTTGCAAGGGCGTGGAGCTCTAGGACCCTGCTCAATATTCCTGTTTGCCCAAAATAAAAATCAATTCCATTTTTTGTTTGTTTCATTTAATCAGCCTAATTGAATGGAAGCAGCATTTCCAGCTGTGACAGTTTCACAGAAAGGTTTCTTAGCCTCTTCAGCTGATTGAAACAGAGTGCATCTACACATGCAATCAATGCAACATGATAAACTTTGGATCAGTTTGCACCAGAATACACTGCTCCCAGGCACAGCATCTACATGTGCGCCTGGAGCAGCAGCACTTTGAGCCAAGGCAGAGCAGCCCTGGGTTAGCAGCTGACTTGGGGGGTCAGCCCCAGGCTCTGGGTGGTGGTGTGAGGTAGGAGAGGGGATGGCTGGGGCACAAGAGTGCCAAAACCGCAGAGCTGTGTGGCAGATCCCCAGAGCCTGCTGCCAGCACAGAATGGG